GAGAGATGGCTTCTGAATTTTAATGTGCAAAAGTGTGCCGTCCTCCAATTGCGTCAAACGAACAACCCCATACCTCACAGCATAAGGACATATTACCTGAACAACACTCAAATGCCCGTAGAATCTTCATAGAAAAACCTCGGCATTTGGATACAGAGCAATCTGAAGCCATTTTAGCAATGTGTCAAGGCTGCAAACAAAGCCACGAGAGTGCTGGATGCTACCAAAAGGGCATTTCTAGCTCTCGACAAAGATCTCTTTGGCAAAGTGTAGGGTATCTGCGTCCGACCACACCTAGAATATTGCATACAGGCGTGGCGGCCATGGCTTGCAACAGACATAAAATGTCTCGAGAAATTAAAGCGTCGGGCAAAAAAGCTAGTAAGAGGACTAAAAAGCACTCTTAAATAGACAGACTGGCATGCCCGAAATCTATTCTCTCTGTATTACAGACAAGGGATTTTATCTTAGTTTTAAAAATAATACTCGGTCTTGAGAAAAGACTTCGCTTTGAGGACATTTTTTAGTGGCACCTCTCGTCTCGTCTCGTCTCCGTGGGCACAAAATTAAACTACCAGAAACTACTTCGGACGCAGGTGACTGACGTGGTATTAGCTTGTACCCAGGCGTGCAACTTCATCCCCCTTCAATGTATTGCATTTATCACAGGGTCGCATGCCGATCCTAGGCCATGATGCGGCCCCGTGTTGATCCAGATCGTCTACCACATTTAGGGGACTGCTGGGAGTGAGTCCATTCCCACGACTACTCTGTTAAGAGACACCTAACAGATAGATAGCCTGCGCAAACAGCCGCTCTTATAGCAGGCTATCGATTGGCCTACCGGCAGTGAACAAACTTGCAGTCACATCAATCGATAATCCCAAATTTACGCTGAATTTCAGCCGCCGAATCCCAGCCAATCGTGTTGGTAGCCAAAAGCTGACTGGCTCGATGGACTTTGCTTACACCCGTTCGTTGTCCTAAATTGTTTGTACCTTTTAGACTCAAGGACTTGCGCTGACTTGCTGTAACCTGCTTGTCTGATTAAACTCTCTCCTTCTCGCTCTGGCCGACTGGTCTTGTCTCTGGCGCTCTTACGAGCTCTTTGCTTCGGCATTCATGCTAGTGAAGTAACAGTCGCGGGTCATACCAGGGACACACAACCGCAGGTCACTTATTAAATTACTGTCACAACTCTTATCGACGCTGAATGGCGAAAACAATCAACAAAAATGCGGACTGTATAATAGAGAAGTACCACTTATTCAACAAGAGACTCGGGTACTTTTAGCAAAGACCCCATCCGCATTGAATCAGAGAATTCTGCGACGCCAGGCTTTAGATGGTGGTCCGAATTTAGTCGCTCCCGCTTCGACTGAGAAAGCAATACGCACAAGACGATAGCTACCGTCTGGTTAGAGTCCCGGCATCAATTTTGTTCTGCCCTTTCACCTAAGCATGACGCACATGGCGAGGAGCAATGAATGAAATAAAACAACGAAGCGCCAACCCCAGGTCGTGCCAACCATCCCCGAGTGGCGCGTGTAGATGGGTTATTCAGCTTTATCCATCCTTGCGTTCAAGATCATCATCAGTGCGTTGAGCCAATCAGACTGCTACGTAGAAGGGCGAAGAGCGTGTGACGTGACATCAGCGCACTTCTCACTATTATAAAGCTGACGCGGTTAAGTCTACCACGCTGCGATATAAGTAGCGGCTCGGGAGATAATATTTGTCCTAAGAGTAGGGCTGCAATGGTTCTGCCTCCCCAATGTGGCCTTCATGCCATTTTCACCCATGCCTGACCCAGTTTGACGTGAGAAATGTGACCAGGACTGGATTATAGTAAGAGTTGCCTTGCATGGCATCTATCTCACTCTCTGTTATACTCGGGGGGAGCAGGTGTGGGTTAAAACTTACCATATTCTTCCTGATTCCCGGCTCCTGGATACCGGCGCGGGCAAGGACCTGGGACCACCTTCCCGTCAGGTCGATGGGGCCCTCCTGGACACAGAGTTGGGCTCCTACTCCGTGGCCCGTGAGATGTAGATAGTTCCGGCGAGCTCGCCCCATTTGCGAGCGTCAAACCACGTCAAGCGCAGTTCCGGTAGTCCCATCTGGAAAGAGCTGTGTGTTGCAATATCGAGAAAAAGGCAGTATATATACCATGACGACAGAAAATAAAGCTCAGGCATTTTATTAGACTGCATGGGTGAACCAAAAGTACACCCATAACTGTTATGTCCCGACAGTTAGGTGGAAAAACAAGAAAGCCGGCTCGGGAAACAATTTATTTTTCAAAAAATGCAAACAGGTTGTGATTTTTTGTCTTATCCAAACTCGCCGTATTTATTTAGTCCTGTGAGCGTTCTGCAATATTCCGGCCCATCACGGACGAATTTATGACTAGCCTTCAAGAACATTCCGGCCAGTGGCGTGGCATTCATTGATTGGCTAGCTCGTGCGCGAAAATCCCTTTTGGGAAAATATCGGTAAATCGATCGGCATAATGGGTGAGCAAAAGCAGCACGCGTAGTAGATATTCCCGCACACGCTAATTGGTCGACTTGTGGCCTGCTTCGGCGCGTGGATTAGTTCTTTTGCCATAAACCGCGCCATAATAACGACATTGAAGCACCAGAAGCACATCCATCATGGTGGGAACAAACTTTGTGAAGATATCACCAAAAGAAAACGACCATTGAAGTGGAATTACGGAAAATTACGCCACTGACTAGGAGCCCAAGTAAATCGCATAATTGAGTTTACTAGAAATTTAGTAAGCGCCTTTACAGACACTGGTAGCTACCCCACTCATGAAGGAGTGCTACTTAAATGCGGCTCCAGTAGGTCAGAAAGCGTTTGAAGAAACGTTTGGAAGTTTCACAATATTTACTTCAGGCAAACTTCAATGAACACTACTCGAATGTGCTCATAAAGGATATGAAAACTACTTCGTAACAATGGTATGCGATGTTAAATAAGTATCTTTTTGTTTAATTGTTTTTATTTAAAGTCTGTAACGACATCAAGGGTACTAATGTAGTGAGTATCGCATAGTGGAGTTGAGTCGGTGAAACATAAAACGTACTAAAGTTGCCAGACTGATGAGTGCCTTTAGCACGTGGGTGAAGTCCTCCCGTTGCTCAACCGTTGGGGTGCCCACGTGGACAGTTCGAGTGACGTTGGTTGTACCTGTGCTGTACTGACCACCGGAATCAATCAGGTACATGGAGTTCGCCGTTAACGGACGAGGATTAGTAGAGTCACCCACGTGGTAGTGGATGATGGCACCGTTTTCGTCTGCAAGAAAAAGACACAAAAAACAACTGGTAAAAATCGTCGTTACTGAGGGAGGGTAAATCGTGCAGCCACAGGCTGCTGTAAATGTTGTGCGCCGCCATGCAAATAATTAGTTTTTCCGCTGACACACAATGGGGGAAGGAAATAACTGGACTCTATCTACTGTCTTCTTTCTTTCTTACTTTCCTTGGCACTTGATACGAGTGTAATCACAAGTGATCTAGCTGGCCTGTACCTTTCCAGGCGGGACGATTTGTGGCAGAGCATCTGGAAAGCTCAGTCCATTCTCTTCTCCAGCGACGGAGACCGAACACCTAAGGTCCCAGAACCGCTTCCATGTCTTGACGAACGGTGTTGAACTATATCTTGCGTTGCCCACTGTTTGGTGCCTCTAGATGAGCAACGGCGTCGGACAGAGGGCAGTATAGTAAAGCCT